GCGCTTTGCGAGCATTTCGCCTTCTTCGTGTGCTACGGCTTTGCCGTGGTCTGCGCGTCCTGTTGCGCCGTGTCGATATTGCCGTTAGTACGCAGCTTTTGGGCAGTTTTGGGCTTCGCCTTGCAGAGTTCATACTGTTGTTCTCATGCTAGAACCGGCTGCTACCAGGAAGGCTTGCGAATCCTTCGTGACCTCGTTGCTCTGGTCAATGGTTCTCCTGCTCATTTTCATGATCGTGGGCGCGCTTGTGATCGGAAACTTTCTGCAGGATTTTGTGAAAGATCCAAGAGAAGACTTGCTCGATCGCGAGTGGGTTTGGCAGCACTATGGTACTGCTTACCGTTCATGGCTCACCTTGTATGAGCTCACATTCGCCATCCGGCGGCAGAAAAACTCGCCTGTAGCTGCACTCATGGCAGACGTATGAGTTCAGGGGTCATGATGGCGAGGTATTGCACAGTTGACTCAGTTGCACAGCAGGTTAGCGTGGTGATTTCAGCAAAGTAAATCGTTCCGGCTTCCTTCAGCTTAGGCTGGAAACTGGCCTACCAACACCCGGCCTGTTTTGGACAAGGTCAGTCATGGTTTCGTTGTCTTCTTCGTGCTGTACATCACTGTCATCGCTTTTGCGCTAATCCGCATCATTACTGCCGTGTTTCTCAAAGACACGCTGGATGCAGCAAACAATGATGCCGAGCTACAGATCACCGAGAACCTGAAGCGGAAGGAGCAGTTCCTAACTTTGTTGTCTTCTTTTCTTTTGGTTGAAGGCTTATGTTGAATTTTGTTTGCAGCGCCCGCATAATTTGCAAGCAATGGTCTCAACATCGTGCCAAGCCCCAAACCCCAAGCCCTAAACCTATATCCCTCTCGGGAATCATTTTTCTTTTTTTTTTGTACAGATAAAACCCAAGAGGATATTAAACATATTATTGTTATTCAGGGACTGAGGATAGTATAGAAAACCCAAACCCCAAACCCTAAACCCTAAACCCAGGTTGGTGAAGCATTTAGAGGGCATCTTCCGAGCCATCGACGATGCCGGGGATGGAATGATCACGCAAGAGCGACTGGAGCACGTTCTCTCCAATCCAAAGGCACGTTGCAGTACATCTTCGGCCCGAAACCCTAAACCCTAAAGACATGAGAGAGCCAAAGATTTTGGGCTTGGAGGGGGTAGGGTTTAGGGGAAGATCACTACCGTCTGCTTTCCAGGGTGACGGGGGTTTAAGGTCCAAAAGGGTTTATATGGGAGGGGGGGAGGGGGGTGGAGGGGGCGGTACTCTGATCAGAAGTGGACCAAGCCCCACACCCAAGCTCGCACACACTCGGAGAAACGACTGGCCCAACTTTTTTTCGTGACTTGTTTTTTGAATGATAATAGTTAATAGTTCAAATATGAACATCATAATGTACATGCCCAAGTTTATCCACAACATCATCTAATTCAATCTGTATTCTCCGAACGAGTACGTACCATGATCTGTTGGTACAGTTCAGCTCCATGTAATGTTTTGAGTTGTATAAGAAACATATGTTGTTGCCGTCGATATGATAACAATCGCCGATTGTTATCATGTCGACGACAACAACATGCACAACCGATTATCGGTTGTGCTGCACAGTGTATCAACTCGAACTACAGGCACGATCTTTTCATGAGCACACACTAGATCACGAAAGCTAACCTCCCGGGAGCTTGCGGAGTATTTTACCAAACGCCACAAGCAGGTTGAAACAACAGGGGGTTTAGGGTTTAGGGTTTAGGGTTTTGTTTAGGGTGTAGGGTTTAGGGTTTAGGGTTTAGGGTTTAGGGTTTAGGGTTTAGGGTTTAGGGTTTAGGGTTTAGGGTTTAGGGTTTAGGGTTTAGGGTTTAGGGTTTAGGGTTTAGGGGAGGGAGCTCAGTTGGTGGTGGTGCCAATGGCGGCTAGCCCGACCTGGCTTGGGTGTCCAAGCCTACGTTTGCCCAGGTCCTGCATGGCTACCTTATTCGCCTGAAACCTGCAACTAGGACCCAGAGTCGGCCCTTATTTCCTTTTTTTAGGGTTTAGGGTTTAGGGTTTAGGGTTTAGGGTTTAGGGTTTAGGGTTTAGGGTTTAGGGTTTAGGGTTTAGGGTTTAGGGTTTAGGGTTTAGCTTCCCTTCTAAACCCCTTTAAGCCTCCAGGGCACGTAGGCTAAGAACCCGAAGGCCGCAGCATCCAACCCACGGATGCAAGGGTTTAGGGTTTAGGGTTTAGGGTTTAGGGTTCGGGGTGAGCACACATGAAATCTTGAGGCGCAGTGGTCCTGCGCGCTTCGACCCGTTGAAAGCTCTCTTGGAAACTGAGTGGCCTTCTTTAAGACCATTGCATCTCAATTCTTCCGGCTAAGGGAATGAGGGAATGAGGTACCCCACAGAATCCTTTAAAGGGTATATATGGGGCCCTAACAGGGACCTGAAACGCGTGCAACGGTGAAAATGATAGGAGAAGTGTTCCTGGCCACGTGCAGCAGAGAGGGAAGAGCGAGGGAACGGTGAGGAAGACATCTTCACGAGAAAATTGTTTGAAACGGGCTGAGTTGCCCTCTAGGAGAGCGGGGGGGGGGGGGGGGGGGGAAGAGGTTCGGAAAATTTGGGGCACCCCTTTGTCGCGAATAGTAAGGGTTGTCGTAGTTTTGGGGATGGTCTACTGGGGCCATCCGTCTGTTGGGGCATGCACAGCTCCTGCCTGGAGGTACACGCATACTTTCAAACCCTGGAGTTGGACGTCATGGAGAGCCATGCATTGTGCTCGAGCCAGCAGTTCAGAACTCTTCACCTAAAAAGCTGCCGGTGTCCTTAGGTCCCTGCATGTCCCTAAGCCCTAAGCATGCCTTGTTGCCCACGAGTCCTGAACCCTAAACCTCATCAGCTCGGAAGGCCCAAGGTGCGTGCTTTCGGACTTCAGCTGCCCTAAGACCCTAAACCCCTAACCCTAAACCCCCTGAAAACCAGGTTTAGCCTTCTTGACGATGGCGATGGAGAAGTAACTCGCTCTTCTTGGAAAGATGCTATTTGCTAAAGTTGGGAGTTTAGGATTGGGGGGAATTTAGGGGTATAAAAATCGATCTCCTCGGAACTCCCCGGCTCCGGAACAGCCCGGCAGCAAGAGGGGCATAAGGGGCGAGGGAAATATGTAATCTCCTACAGCTTTACTACAGGCTTTCTGAGAGTTGCCCCCCCAACGTGTTGTGATAGCTGAGTCCTGGGTAGGTTCTTAACCCTCTTCTGGCTCTCTTAAACAGGGACCTTATTCAGAGGGTCTAAATCCCCAAGGGTCCCCTTCATCCTGTCCCCGACTGAGGTAACCCTGCAGGAGTTTATCTCTGGCATCCTGCGATGCAAGGGGCACGCGCGTGCGCTGGACCAGGTGGCCTTGCACACGGAGATCAGGACGAAAATTCCCCTTAATAATTGTGTTTTTGATTTCTGATTCATATAAAAACCCAAGAGGATCTTAAGAATCGTGTTTTTATTAAGGTTCTAAGGGGAGCAGAGAGGATGCTGGACAAGAAAGTGTGCAGAATGGTGGAGCTAATGAACGCCGGGAGGAAGGACAGCAACTTGAGCGTGCCTTGGGTTCAGGTGCATGCTGAAAGGCCCCGGGCTGGAATCCATGGTGCCTCAACATAGACACAAACAGGCCCGAAAGGAGAAAAAGGGTTGGGGGGGGGGGTTTAGGGTTTAGGGTTTAGGGTTTAGGGTTTAGGGTTTAGGGTTTAGGGTTTAGGGTTTAGGGTTTAGGGTGCAAGAGCACGAAGATGTCAGCAGCATCCCCAAGCTTTGCAATACAGGATACGCAGACAATTTCAGCAGATCCCGGAGGCAAATTGCTTTCGGGTTTAGGGTTTAGGGTTTAGGGTTTAGGGTTTAGGGCAATCCGGGCGAACTGCGAAGCCTGTTGCAAAAGGGTTTAGGGTTTATGCGCATGTCCGCGTTTCATGTCCATGCGCCAGTCAAAGGCATCCGGCCCCAGCCGCAAGCGGCGCGACAGCTATGCGGAGTCGATGCGCGTGTTCACCTGAGAGGTGCGAAGTATACTTGCACATGCACATGCCAGCACGAAGTGCGAGAATTCAAATCAACACACTTGGGCAGTCAGCAGTGGTAGACATGGCCAGATGCAGCTGACACGCCGAGCGTGACTCCATCTTCCGTTGAAGCGCCGCCGAAAAGGGCGGCGAGCACGGCTTCGAAATCGATGTCGCTGATGTCGCTGATGTCGCCCCAAAGTTAGGGGAGTTCAGATGGGAAGCTTCCAGACTGTTCCTCTGATTTTTTTCAACTCGCTTAAAAGCACACGGCACTGTGCAATGAGGCCGGCGCACCCAAACCCCCCCCTCCCAACCCTAAACCCTGAGCCCTAAACCCTAAACCCTAAACCCTAAACCCTAAACCCTAAACCCTAAACCCTAAACCGGCGCTTAGGGCCTCTCGCATGGTCGTGGCAGATTTTGCACACTCAGACTTCTGAGGCAGACAACCCAAGAAGAGCCCAATGAGAGCATCCGAGCATGTGTGTATATATGTAATTATGCATATATGTATATATGCATACATGTAAATATGCACATTGTTATACGGCTAATTCGAATACAAATATAAATACATATATATATATATATATACATATGTATATATATATACACATATTTTTTGATCTTTTTTAACGTTTATTTATTGCGCTCTCCGGGAACGCAGAACCCAATTGCTCAGCTATCAGCCCGCGTCGCGACAGAGTACTGAGAAAGCAGCGCTATACCAGAAAGCGCGTGGCGTGTCCAGAGCTTTCGGGGCCTGAACTCTTACTCTTGGCTAGCAGGGAATGAGGGAATTAGGGCCATATATATATATATGTATGTATGTATCCTTTACGGGATTATATAGGCTACCTCAATCCCCCAGTCCCTACTAACCAGCAGTAAGAACTTTGGAAGCTCAGGCTACCTGCGCATAAAGCACGCGGACCTCTCCACAGCCATGCGGCGCATGGGGTGCGCCAGCCCAGTCACGCCGCCACGAAGGGAGACGGGGAAGTCTTGCGCAGCACACACTACTTCAACCCTTATTCTAGGGTTAGGGTTTAGGGTTAGGGTTTCGGGCTCCCCCCCCAAGCCCTAAACCCTGAACCCGGTGTGGGCGTTAGCCTGCCTGAAGCCCAGACTGGTGAGAGCCGTGTCGACTGAACCCTCCCTAAGCCTTCACAGGCCTAAAAAGCATCTCGGCAACCCCTGGGGTTCCCTTGAGGGTTTAGGGTGTAGGGTTTAGGGCCTCGGGTTTAGGGTTTAGGGAACACCAGGGGTGCCTGTGAAGGTTTAGGGAGGCTTTAGCCGACACGGCTCTCACTAGTGCAGGTTGCTTGCAGGCCAAAGCCCACATCTCTCTCTCTCTCTCTCTCTCTCTCTCGCTAGGGTTTAGGGTTCAGGGTTTTAGGATTTAGGGTTTAGCGTTTCGGTTCTAGGGTTTAGGGTATTTCTCCTGTGCAAGTACAGACATCTTCCGGGGTTGTTTTAGATGAGGGTCCGCAATTTTTTGCTAATAGAACGACGGAAAAGAGACCCCCCCCCCCCCCCAAAGAGACCCTAGTTTAGAACGTCACCTGGCACACTTGTGGCAAGGTGCTTTCACACTCGCAGCCACTGGTCCTGCTCCGTGGTCGGCCTCCTGGGAGATACTGCAGTCATGTTCCAAAAGGGTCCCGTACCATTCAAGCCCGCGTTTTTGCAGAGAATTAGCCTGAAGTACGGTTTATGGGACCACTTCTGAAAGCAAGGGAAGCAAGGCATGCATGATGTTGAAGCAGTCTTGTGAGCTGTGTCACTTGGCGGACCACCAACGCCCAAGGCCATGTTCACGTGCTTCTCCTGCCTGCTGATGGTGTGGCACACCATTGTGCTGCTGTTGATGTTCTGCCCGAGACTTGATGTATGCAAAGCAGTGCGTCAAGCTATCCTTTGTGTTGGCCCTCCGATGCCTAAACCCTAAAACCGTTACTTACGGCAAATGCAAAGGGGTGCTTCTCCTGTCCGTTTTCTCGTCGCCTATCTTGGCGTCAGCACTGGCTTCGAGCCGCTCGTTCGTGAACCAGCTGTGCTTCTGCATGCCACCACGTCGCCAGCTTCCATTCTGACCTGGAGGCTATGACTACAACGTGAAGCAGGCACGGTCGATTGTGCGAATGCTGCAGTGGTGCGAGTATGCAAATCACGAAGAGCGCCAACCATTCAACCGCTTCCATCATGAGCCATAGACTTTGACCTCCAGCAGGCCTTTGCGGTGCGGTTCCTGATGGTCTCCTCCGGGATATTCGTTGCCAGGGCCTGATGCAGCCTGCTGGTGAGTGGAACCAAAACAAGCAACCCTACATACTTCATAGTGGCTGCTGGACTAAGCCCGAAACCCTAGACCCTAAACCCCAAACCCAGCTGGACAACGAAAAGCGTTCCAGGTGGCAAATTGGGCCTTCTGGCGCGATTTCGTGCCGAACTCAAACGTTCGGGCTCAGAGAACGCAGCATTTTTTACATATTCGTGTTTGTTACTATATTGTTATACTCATGTGTACTCTTTTACACTATAATATTATATCAGTATATGGGTTTTTATTGCCTTAACATTTGTATACTTTTGATGTTGTTTCGACTATTGTGTTATGAATATATATATATATATATATATTGTTATATTGTTATATGATGAAACATTATGTTGTTGTTATAGTGTTATATTCTTACACCTTACTTAATTCAGCAGAAGAAAGCCTAATTACGTAGCTGAGGCAAGGGGGTCTCGTGTGAGCGGCAGCATGAATCCCAATGAAAGGAGAAAGACAGGGTAACCCTTGATTGGGCTGCGTCAGCTACAGCCCGAGGCGCGCGAGCACACGACAGCTTCTGCGAAAGAGCCCTAGTCGCGACAGCGTGCGATAGCTCGCGATGGTGTTTGGCTTTCTCCCGCGCGAGTCCATGTCCGTGCAACCCCTGCTGGGTTTAGGGTTTAGGGTTTAGGGTTTAGGGTTTAGGGTTTAGGGTTTAGGGTTTCGTGTCAGCCTGTGAATAGGCCTGCAAAGGTAATAGCAAGTTGAAAGGGTTTTCAACAGAGCTCATATATTCTTGGTAGCCCAGTGGTACCCTTTTCCCTTTTTTGGTTCAAGGTTCCCCTATAAAGTGACCAACCGAAAAAAGGGTGCCCTTATCATAATATGGTTACTGGGCTACCAAGTATTTGCGCATATTCTTATGAGATCCTTGGGTTCAGACAAAACGGTTGAAGATACCCCGCCTCAAAGTACAACCCCCCCCCCCCCCCCCCGACACAACATGAAGTTAGGGTTTAGGGTTCAGGGTTCAGGGTTTAGGGTTTAGGGCTTAGGGTTTGACCCTAAACTAAGCCTTACTAGGAAGCACAGTGATGCCATGCTGCCTTTTTTCCTTCACGAAACGAACCAACAGAGGAAATGATACCCGCATTGCACTGTGGTGGGGTGGGCTACGTAGTTGGCGAGTTGTCTTTTCTCGGGGCTGTGAAGGCGCCGGCGATCCATCAAGCAGTTGAGAACTCCTCGGGCTTCCCTAAACCCTAAACCCTAAACCCTGAACCCTAAACCCTAAACCCTTTCCAGGTGCGCAACTATCGGGATACTCAGGATGATGAGCGGCCGGGAGCTTTGTGCACTGGTCACGATGGCAGACTGGGTTTAGGGTTCTGCGGTTAGGGTTTAGGGTTTAGGGTTTACGTAGGGTTTAGGGTTTAGGGTTTAGGGTTTAGGGTTTAGGGTTTAGGGTTTATGGTTTAGGGTTTAGGGTTTTAGGGTTTTAGGGTTTAGGGGTTTAAAGCTATGACAGGAGCCCTGAAGCGCTTCAAGGTTTAGGGTTTGGGGTTTAGGGGTTAGGGGTTTAGGGTTTAGGGTTTAGGAGCCTCTCGGCCCGAGCCTACACGTGGCGAGGTCGTTGGGGGAGGTAGAACCACCTCCTTTGCAAATCGGGCCATGATTCGACTGCCGCTGATTTCTCTTTACTCGTTAAGGTCCTGCTTATGCCATTCAGAATCTACCGCATGCTTGGTTCAGCTGCGGCCTTTGGGGTGGTTGGTGCTACAGTTTCAAGGCTTTCTGCGTTCCGCGACGTGGCAGTTGCTACGACTTCGAGTACGAGGACGGCTATACTGGCTATACACGGTGTGTGGAGTGGTTTTGAAGCGGGCCAGCCCTATGCTGCCACAGCTGCACCTACAGTTTCCGAACCTTGATTTTGCTGTGGCTTACGCACTTGCGGGCCCCAACCTGGCAGCTGATTCAAGACCATGTCCTTGCAGTGGGTCGACGCTCTGCTCTTCCCCAGATGTCAACTGCCACGGCTTTCAAGACAGCAATTGCTCCAGCCTTGGAGGCAAGCATGTTCACTCGGTTGTTGGTGACGCGGCGACGGCACGGCTTTCATGGCGGCATTTTGCTGCCGGTCAGCTACTTGCACTTCCCGAAGGGGCAACTGTCAGGACCTGCAGGGCCGGGACTATGACGCGTGACATTTGCCGGAAGCAACCTGCGCATGTCTGCAGCCATGACGGCCTTTACAGCGCACACAACATACCCAATCGAGAATTTGTCGGCCAGATTTCCGAAAAAAAAACATGAGGTCTTGATGCCAATGGCTACACTGTCCAGCTTCGTCCTGCCTGGTCCGATGAGCGAGGCTGCGCGATGCGGCTTAGCACTGTAGTGAACGGGCATGCCGATCTTGAGCGGTGTGACAGGTGTGTTTTCTGGTTTTCGCCCAACGCGGCCCAATGTTTGTTGCTGCCGAACACGTGGCAGTACCGTGAGTTAGGGGCCATTTGTGGCTCCACCCATGTCGAATGTCAGCTAGATGTCCACCGGGGCCTCCCGGCAAACGCCAATAAGGGTGGTTGCGTGATGCGGCCATTGCTTTGTAGAGCCTTGCTGTTCGCCGCGGATCGGACACAGGAGGCCCGGCGTCGCCGCTGAGGCTGGCCCGGGTGCTCCTCACAACCCGCTAAAGGTTTAGGGCTTAGGGTTTAGGGTTTAGGGTTCTTGCTCGACAGTGTTCGAAGAGGCCTGGATGCAAAAGGGTTTAGGGTTTAGGGTTTAGGGTTTAGGATGGGCATCCCCTGCGCTGAGGTTAGATTTCGTGGGTTTGTACAAGCTCCAGCTGCTGTGCAAGCTGTACAAATCCAAGGCAGGCATCTTAACGACGAGCACTCTATATGTCTACAGTGCTATATTTATATTACGATCATTGGCTTCTATGACCTACCCTAAACCCTAAACCCTAAACCCTGGACTACATACTCTTGCCAGCTGACTTGTTGTTGGAGCAAGTTGTTGGGCATCCTAAGGGCACTCCGAGCCTTGTGAGGGCCCTTGAGTCTTTGTGGCCCCTAAACCCTAAACCCTAAACCCTAAACCCTAAACCCTAAACCCCAAGCCCTAAGCCCTAAACCCTAAACCCTAAACCCTAAACCAACTGCCAGGCCATTTCAGCCATGACAGCTCTGCTAAGGGCAAGAGGAGTTCAAGTGAAGGGCTTGTTAAAGTTTGGAAGCAACATGGGGGTTTAGGGTAATACTAGTAGTATTCCCTTATGGTCCCCTTTGTAAATATACTACAACCAACCCCCCCAAAACCCTATTCCAATTATTCGGGCCCCCTAAACCCTAAACCTTAAACCCTAAACCCTAAACCCTATTTTTAGCACATCTGCCTGACAGATCCCGTGAGGTCATCACTTCGCACAAGGTGGCTGATCTGCTTGCTGGGCCTGACAGTGGGCCACTCTCTTGTGCAGCTGCCGTGCTTGAGCTTGAGGGTTTAGGGTTTAGGGTTTAGGGTTTAGGGTTTTGGGGTTTAGGGTTTAGGGTTTAGGGTTTAGGGTTTAGGGTTTAGGGTTTAGAGTTTAGAGTTTAGGGTTTGGGTGGTAAGGTCGTGCCACCGGCTCTTGAGTACAAGTTTCAACAAAGCATCTAGCAGAAGAACGATGCCAGGTACAGTATGCCTCGAGGCCGGCAACCTTATCCTTGGTGCAGGTAGAGCCCTAAACCCCAAACCCCAAACCCTAAACCCTAAACCAGCGCCAGCGGAGCAATGCACTGATGTCATGGCAGAGTCCCGGACACGTGGCAGAGTTGGGTGTAACCCCGATGCTGAGGACTTTACTCGCAATGAGACTGTCGCGAAGCTTCCCTGCTCCTTGACTCGCATGATGCGCGGAAGCATCTACCCCGTCTTGCTAACCTATCTTGTGAAGAAGGGCTAGGATGCGTGATTTGTGCCAGAGGCCGGCACAGTTGCTTGCATCAAGACTTGTACGTCAGAAAGAGATTGCAGAGGCCAGCGTCATGCAGCACACCACACAGCGTGCACCTTGCGACAGCAGGATGCAGAGTCATGGCGCGCAAAGCAAGGTGGCCATTGCTTCCATACAGCTTGTATCAACAAGTGGGTCATCGAGGACAGGCTGAACATCACAGGAGTCCCCCCAACCTTAAAAACCCTAAACCCGAAACCCCAAACCCTAAACCCTAACCCTTAAACCCTAAACACCTATACCCTAAACCCCTAAACCCTAAACCCCGCCCTCTACTGTGAAGGACTGGCGATGTCCTTTTCGGTGCTCGCTGGAAATGCCAAGGCTCCTGCAATTAGGGTTTATAGGATTTAGGGTTTAGGGTTTAGGGTTTGGGATCTGGGATTCGAAGCTTTAGGGGGGCATGGAGGAAGAATTCGGCTTTTCTTGGCTCAAAGGTTTCAAAGTACAACCGTTGCTCAGAGCTCGCACATCCCCCCTTTCATACTGACCCACCCCCCGGGCCAACATGGTCAGTAGACACACACTTGAAAGGAGCAGCCTAGACCCCAAAAAGATCGGCAACCCTCGGAATGTCTCCTAAACCCTAAACCCTAAACCCTAAACCCCCTCCCTTGACTGCACAGGGAGCACTCGAAGCGGCCACAAGAAGCCTGGCTTGCGAGGGCTGCAGAGGCCAGCAGATCCATTTAAGTCGGGGTTTAGGGTTTAGGGTTCAGGGTTTAGGGTTTAGGGTTTAGGGTGTGAGATTTCAGAGCAAGCTATGAGATTGCATCCAGTTCAATCCACAAAGAACTCGTGCTGACCGACACGCAACGAGGCAAGTATCATTCCAGAGCCCGACCTTGAGGCCAGTTTGGACTGAGATTGCTTGCTCGTGGATTCCTACACATTATGCGAATCTTCTTCTATCTCCCCCTTAGAAATTATTTTTGTTTATATAAAACCCAAGAGGATATTAAACATACTATGTTTATTAAGCTTCTAAGGGGAGTATAATCTTCAGCAAGTTCCTACCCTATTAGCTCCTCTACCCACCTCCCAGATTTTGGCGATACATGGCGTTGCACACTTCCTGCACAGGCCGGAAATCAACAAATGCCCGCCTGAGGCTGGATCATGACCGTGTGCATGGTGAATGTGCCGTGCATTGCACACATCCCAGCAAAGTTCACCAGCATCCCACTCGCAGCTTTCGCCAATGCAAGCAGCTAGGCACACGAAACCGATCATGCCAGAATCCAGAAACTTGAGAAAATGTTTGAAGCTGCAGCAAGCAGCTCTACAGTAGATATCTGTCCGGTTTCTCAGATAGAGAGGTTCTAAGATTTTGCCAGGCTTCCAAAAGACGATGATATGATTATGAACCCGATGCAGCGCAGCGCGACTCCGCGCCGCCAGCTTACAGGGACTCTCAGCACGCAGCAGAAATTTCACAATTCACGTGAGGAAGCATGTGCGTGATTGTCATTCGTGAGTGCATGCAGGTGTATGTTTGGGGGCATCCTTCTTGGGGGTACTGCCACTAAGTGCCGTTAGAGTTGGGGTTATCAGTACTCGTGAACCCTCCAAGTACGGATGCTCATCTTCTGGTGACTTCTCCTCTTCTAGGAAGTGCCCAGAATCCATTCTGAAGCCCATCTTATGAAGGCCGAGCTCAAAGGACACCAATACCCTGAAGTCGGTGGTTTCAGCCCCCAAGCATACCCTTAAGACGGGTTTCGGGGGGTGGGGGGGGAGATGCGAAACCAAGAATCGTAGGGCACTGTGACCCAAGCCTCTTCGGAACAAGCCGCTTTTGGGTGGTTTCGTTCTAACCTTGTTTAGGGGACTTAAAACCGTTCTTATATAACTACCCATGATCCTCCTAGTACGCCCTTTTATATATATATATATATTTATTTATATTTATATTTATTTATATACATATATACATATACATATATATGCTAACTCCCCCCAAGACCTACCCCGCACGAATCCAAGAGGAAACCCAAAAAACAAAAACAACAACAATTTCGGAGGGCTTGGCCCAAACCAAAAAAAAATGTACATCCTTTCTTGTCGTTTATCTGCATTTCAGATCCAATACATATTGCCCTGTATACATGTATGACGTGGGTAGTTCCTGTACCTTTTCCATGTTTTTCCATTGGCCTCAGTTCAGTGCCGCACCTCAGGCTTCTCTTCTGCTTTTATGGAGAGGTTGATCTTGAGGTAGGTCTTTGGGGGGGGGGGGTTACCATACGTGTATGTATGTGTATATATATATATATATATGAGCCATACCTCCTGGTGCCCAGGTTTCGATGCCCCATGCAGAAGTCAACAGGGGCAGGTGCGAAGCCGCTGCAGAATTTGTTTTTCCCCAGGCCAGCGGCGGCAAGAAAGTTTACCGTGAAGAGGGTTTAGGGCTTATAAAGGGTTTTGGCCGCTGGCTTGGACTTGTTTAATTCGTCGCGCGTGCGCCGGCGCAATGGCAAGGCTGCGGCGTGCGCGCACGAATTCAGTAGCAAGTAGTAGCTAGGCACGATGAACATACAGGCAACGTCCAGGCATAACCGACGTTGCCTGGGGTGTTGCTTCGATTTGCTTCGCAGGCCTTGCGACGTCTGCAACTGCCCTTAGGGGTTTTCGAGCCGTAGCACGACAGAACCAGTCGAGAGTCGAGAAGGAAGAGCAAGGACTCAAGAGTTGCCGCGCTATGCTGCGTTGAGCGGTTTCCAACGCACGTGGTTCTTGCGTGATGAGTGGCAAGATGTTCGTTGTTCGCTTGTGCAGGCTGCGGGAGGAGCTGGAGTTTTCGATACAAAGACCCTAAACCCTAAACCCTCAAGGGCCCCCCCCCCCCCTTCCGGAGGATCCAGCGGCTAAGGAATTCCACTGCAGGATCTAACGGCTGGGGGTGCCTCCAGCCTCCCGATTTTTATGTGGAGCGTCCTGGTAGCTCTTGACCGCAAGTTGCTTTTTGTCCTGAAACCTCTTCAAGCTGTCGATCGATCATGGTTTTTGTGGGCCCACCGAATGGCTCTAAACCCTAAACCGAGACCGACCTACAACCCCGCATTGCCGTGGCTAGTCGGGTGCAAAAAAAAAACCTAAACCCTAAACCCTAAACCCTATTTTTCTGCAGATGAAGGTCATGAGCGAGCCATTGCACGTGTACAGCAAGGGCAGCCTGGGATGCCCAGCCCAGATTGCGAGACAAAATCGTAACTTAGGGTTTAGGGTTTAGGGTTTAGGGTTTAGGGTTTAGGGTTTAGGGTTTAGGGTTTAGGGTTTAGGGTTTACACCGAAGTTCGCGGTCCCTACCGCGAGTGCAGGTGGAGGCATGCAGCCCCACTTCAGAAGCTGTGTTCCTTGTCCAGCTTGCATAATTCATGTCACGAAGAGGGAGCTCTTGCGAGGTCCGGGGTTGTGCTGAACCGGCTGCTGAAACTGCACATGAGCTTGGAGTTTTTGTGGATGTTCTGGCAGACCAAGCGTTGAGACATGTATGGATCTGATCAGACATTTCTGCGGATCTCAGTTCTAACTTCCGTCCTGGTACAGCAGACCGGACCTCGAAGCTCAGCACACAAGGGTTTAGGGATGGTTTAGGGTTTACGGTTTACGGTTTAATTACGGTTTTGAGCCGACCACGCTGCCAAGGGACAAGGCCTCTACAAGAGAGGCTTGGAAGGTCCAATGCACAGGGCAAGCGCGAAGGCTTTGGCTCCCTGCACACCACACTATCGGGCTAACAAGGCGGCACACTCCTTAGGGTTTAGGGTTTAGGGTTTAGGGTTTAGGGTTTAGGGTATAGTGGGTTTAGGGTTTAGGGTTTAGGCGCCCCTAAACCTTATTCGGTCCTGAACCCTCAATTTGTTCCCCTTGCTCCCGATGCAACTGGCTCTTGTCGATGTAGCTCGATATTCTGGATTGTTTTGGGCAAAGAGGGCACTCAAACAAAGGGCCGGGAAGCGCCACGGGTCCAGGAATGCTGACAGACTCTGCATCTCCTGTAAAGACACCGTGGGTCTTTGAGTGTTGCCCTCCATAGCACTTGTTTGAAACATGGGAGGGCCGCCCGAGGGCTTGCAATCCAAAAAAAGCGCACAAGACTCGTTTGTACCCGTATCTTTGTGGTGCTTTATTGTAACTTTACATCTTTAGCCTTTTTGGGTTTGTTGGGTTTCTTAAGAAGGCAGCTAAAAATTAAATTTATAGCTACCCTGCCAAGAGCAGCCAAGGTATGTTGGACAAGTGAAGGTGCCATCTCCAGCCAGCCCCAGCCCACCTGCTCCAGCCTTCTTCAGCCCATGCCCGCCTCAAGCCATCCAGCCCTCTCCAGCCCAGCCCCACACTCCTTCGAGTCTTCAAAACAGCCTTCGGCTGGAGGCTGAGGGTTTAGGGTTTAGGGTTTGAGGGTTTAGGGTTTGAGGGTTTAGGGTTTGAGGGTTTAGGGTTTGAAGGTTCAGGGTTTAGGGTGTGGGGCCTGGAGGGCTGAAAGGGCTGAACGGGCTGGAGGGGTTGGGTTGGAGCGGCTGGTTGAGATTCAGCCGGTCACAGGCTGCGATAACTTCCGGATAGTTAAAGGAATGAGCGGCGCCATCAAATCCTTCACAGAGGCAGTGCAACAGACCTGTGTCAGCTCATTTACAAATCGGGGTCTTTCAAAGACAGGCGTAATACAACTGCTGCCTCAACCATCTCAGGTATCACACTGTAATGTTGTCTGCTGATCAGTGTCCACCCGCCCCCCCCCCCCCTGCCCTTCACAGATGGATCCCGTCTTTAGTGGGGGGGCGGGGGGGTAGGACTCAGAAGGCTTCAGAAGGAGCTCAGAAGTTTTATTCAAAGGAGCTCAGAAGGCTTTCTTCTTTATTTTCTCCTCAGAAGAATCGCAGAAGGCTACTCAGAAGGAACAATGCCTGTTCGCAATTCAACAGCCTCGCCGAAATTTTGCA